ATGAAATGCCAGACTGTGTTATGTCTTTTTGTTGAGGGATACTCCGGGGCCTATCAATTGTCATTGGCTTGCAGTCTCTAGGGGTGAGATTTCTACCCGCACACATAAGTAGGTATGGAAACATCGCACCAATTGGCCTCATCTCTTTGCCCATCATGTAGTCGGTGCGGAGAACATTGGTGCAGTCTAAAACACTCACGCTCCAGCTGCTGCAATCAACACATACGCCGACCCAGTACTTTTTATCGAGATAGAATGGAAAATAGAAACGGGTGACTTGAGAGGTGGAGTCGTGTTGTCTGACCAACTGAACAAGATTGTCCGGGAATTTGAAGTTCTCCTTTCTCGACAGCTTTGAGAACTTTGGATACAGTTTGGTGAAGTGGGAAACAAACCGAGTGTCCATAAACACTGTCACCGCCTGGTCTTTTGTAGATGTTTGACACTGGAACAATGAGCTCGTGTGGTACATTAGTACATCCATAAGCTGTCAGGGGAGGTTTGTGAAAGAGAAAAAAGGTCAGATAATGATTAGAAAAAACAGAAGAAGAACCTATAAAACGTCTTCAACCAACCTTAGTCGATAATTGGGTAGATCTTTCGAGAACCTCTGCAAGCTCTGTGCTTGTAATATTCCCCCGTTCAGTAGAAATGGAACTGTACAAGATGAGCCAAACAAGACATTAGCGCGTTAAAATATAAATTAACCTCATAGGTTTATTTAAAATATAGTTAACAACAGAATATGGACTCACAAAGTGGTCTTCATCTTCTCTAACAGAGACGAGAACTTTGCCGCGTAATCTATGTTCGATCCTTTATAGAGACCATGTCCAAGACCCTCTCTTGCCCGGTTCATCAATGCCTTATCACATTGATACTCATCAGTCAGTACTTTGGGCGGCACCTTTTGTCTCTTGCTTTTCCTACAAGCAATTGGAACATCGTCTTCATCAGAATGCTCATCTTCCTCAGTTGTTACATGATCCATAGCTGCCTCCTGAGTCATCCCAAGGGAGAAGGATGGGTTGGGGAATACCAAACCAGGATCAAGGTTCTGCATTATACGTAACATGCACGGAAGGTTGGCAAATGTAGTGGAATATATAATAAGATACTGATATATGAAAGTAGTGAAACAAATTAACGTACACTCTGGTTTTCTGAGACAGAGTTTGTGGGTGGTGAATGAGCAGAGGCAGCGGCTGTGTCGAGATTATTGTCGAGAACGTCGCTAACGTTGACTGTTGTCTCAACACATACATCTCCCGCCTGTGTAACATTATTTTAGCCAGCTAATGAAACCGAGAAGATGATAATTGTAAAGGTATACGGTTAGTATAATGAATACCACTTTTGCTGGGTTCGTTGATCGAGTAGCAAAATGAATAGCATCTGAAATGATGGTGGTTGCATCAGGCTCTGTTTGCGTGCTCGCATCCACAACCGGCGGACGTGTGGGTTGGCAGAAGGGTGGAATGACGGGTGAGTTAGCTGCTAGTTTGCGAATGTCAGCAGAAATAGTTGAGAATTTGCCACAGTTGTCATGCATCACTCCAAACAGGTCACCGAAATTAGTGAGAATAGTTTCGTTGTAGCCATTGACTGATTCTTGAAGTGTTGCAATCGTGCGATGGACGAGGTGAAAATCTTCCCTTAGCTTATCTCTCACTAAAGTGGCCAACAAATCCAAATCCGGACCATCTTGGCCAATCGAACTAGTAGAAGACTTGTTTTTGGTAGACTTGCGATTGACTAACTCTGCTTTTGACTCGTCGCGCATCCTGTTGACGTCATCTTTTGTGGAGCCACCAACGAAACATTCTGCGGTGAAGGGGAACCCATCTTCAATTAGTTTAACCATGTTGCATATCCCCACATCTTCCTCATCGTCTGACCATTGGAACTCTGCATCGTCTTTGATATCCCCATTGGGATCTACCATTATTGACTGCACTAATGCCTGCCATTGATAAGCAATGCAACAGTAAGTGTATGAGGGTAACTTTTAGAAAATCATAAGTAACACAGAACCGCGATACTAAGAATGAGCATCAATGGCAGCCATTGAAGAGCAAAGCAATAAATATATGTTGACATCTACATTCATAATTTAACGTATAATGCACAACAGTTACAGAGATAACTATAAGTTCCATAACGTGAAATTCTCATCAAAATAATTACCTTCCCTGCAGCATCAATATCACGAGCGTGAGCTGGACTGATTGTTTTTTTCCCACTTCTATCGTTCTCAGTTGTGCCATCTTCATTTTCCGACTCCGATGAACTACCATCCTGGACGACTTCGGTCAGGGCCGGTACACATTCGACGATAACAAGTTGCAGACCAAGAACAAATCCTTTCAGAGCTATTGTGTTTTGGGACAGTGAAACCTCCTTCCTCTCTTTAATGCTCCTCATTAACATGTCGAATGACACCCTCCCCCATGGATAAGCGAAAAACACATCCAAATCTTTTATCATCTCAGCGCATTCTTGGGAGATACGAGGAGAATGGGTTGTGGGAAGTAAGACAGAGGCAAGTAAGGCAAGGTATGCGTACTTGAGACGCAAATCACGGTCGACGACCGTTTTCCTCTCCAGCATCTTCACGACGGAAGAAACAGGTATGTTGGTTAGCGATCCAAATAGCTCATACCAATAGGGTTTCTCAGAAATGATTTTCTTGGAGGATTTCTTCTTCATTCTCCGCGGAAATCTGCCACAATTTAATCCTGTCACCAAAGCAAACTCTCTAATCGAAAACCTAATGGGTTTTCCGGCGAACAAGAACCACACTTCGTGCTTCTTGGAGACTTTAAGCTGTCTTGATAGGATGTATCTCCCAAATCTGCCCGAGAAGGTAGGTTTCTCCGCGATGTCGATCAATTTGCCGAATGGAGATGCCCTTATCTGTTCAACCTCATCGGCATCAAGAGCGTTGAGGATTTGTTTGATACCGCATGCCTTATGATAAGGGGTTACTCTGACGCCGGTGGGCTCTTCTCCGGCGGCGAATATTCTCTCCGGCAGTTGCGATGGAGGCCTCTGAGGCCCTTCGTCTTCTTCCATGGAAAAGATTTACTTTGGTTTTCCAAATGAGTGACTTTTGGTAAAAAAAACAGAGCAGTGGAGTTATTAAGGGATTTCCAAAATCGAAATTTGAAATCGCTCCGCCTATCCCGTCTGTTTCGTATAGTAGTCAACTTAATATCTGACAAAAGCGGATTTGGCGAAGATTACGTATCTGAGAGTTGGATTTTGTCTGCCCTATAATTCTCGGGCACTCTCTACTGTCTTGTACGAAGGGTATAATCGTCAAACGGCATAATGAATAGTGGTCTGCTCTATGGGATTTGGCATATAGTTAATTATGCGAAAAGTCTTTGGTATAGCTCCAAATTTCACAAAAAAAATATACAATACAATTTGTAATAGCTACAAATGTAGTTTTACGAAGAAAAATGTTACGAACAAAAAACTTTGAATTTTAGTGGGATATGCTGATAACCCATAACGCATTAATTATTGACTTTCAAAACTATGCATCTGAAGAAATTTTATATTACTACTCAACCGACATATATTTATAATTTTATCTAACTTATTCTGTTATAAACATCCAAATACAAATCATATTCGCTTTTTTTATTTCAGAATCTAATTGAGAAAAAGTTGTTATATTATGCTAAATTCAAACATTAAGATGAATAACAACTTTATAGTTACTAAAAACAATTATCACATGCCAAATATATAACACCCGTTAAATTTTCCGTATAAGCAAATAAACGACAGAAGAAATGAAACTGAGATTTGATTTTTTTTTTTTAAAGTCTCAGATTGTTGTTAATTTAGATAGATAGTATTTATAACCTAATGTTTTCAATTGAAAATGATATAGTTCAAACTAGGTACTACAATATATGGGGAGACGTTCGGGTACTTACTCGGATTCGGTTCAGATTTATTTGAGTTTTTCGGAGTCAACAATTTTAATCCCATTCAAATATTTTTAAATTTTGGTTCGGATTCGGTTTGAATATTTACGAGTTTGCTTTGGTGTTGGATAACCCATTTAATTTATTTTTCAAATTTTAAAATTCATTACATACTCTAGATATCTCAAAATTTATAAACAGAATAATATATTACATATTAATTTGAATAACATATAATAAAATATCTAAACTTAACATATAAATTGGTTTGGTTTAAATATTTAGATTACGAATTAATAAATATTTCAAATATTTTGGTGTTTTGAGTATACTTTAACTATTTAAGACATTTAGATGTTTTAGATGTTTTAATATATATTAGATTTAAAATATAAAAATATTTTATATATTTTAGATGTTTTTAATATATATTAGATTTAAAAATAATTAATATATTTTACATATATAAATCTATTTTGGATCCGTTCGGATACCCGAAATACTTCAGTTCGAGTTAGGTTCGATTTCGATTCTATAGATACCAAAATTTTAAATCCATTCGAATATTTAATTAATTTTGATATGAGTTCAGTACTATTTTTTTTTCAATCAATTCGCTTCTGTTTCTTATCCAATCAGTACATAGCTGATATTTTTTCATTGAGAGGATAATTTCTTATCCAAAAGAACAAATGTATGTTTTTGAATAAAAGCATTTACTCAACTTTAATGGGAAACAGTATAAAAGCAAATAAAAACGTTTCTTATCATAAACATAGGAGATATTTTTTTTTTTAGGAGAGATTAAAGTTTATCCTATCATCTGGAATCCCAAAAAAAGAAAAAGATTATCCTGAAATTAATCCATACACAGTCCCACGACAGGTTTTCCATTTTTTCCTGTAAGATATTCAAATAATCCAACAAAAAAATGAGAGACCGCGTCGCTTGACTTTCAAAATAGTAACGTCGGTAACATTCTACACGCCTTTCTCTCCCTTCCCCCTATCCACTCCTCTCTCTATATATACACCCTCGTCTCCCTACTCTGCTCATAAAAAAAAAACAAATTCAAATTTATAATTATTAAAATATAAAAACACAAGAGAGATTATTTGAAAATGGTTGATATGGATTGGAAGAGGAAGATGGTATCATCAGAGCTTTCATCAAAGCTCCACGTCACTATTCCGTCTCCGTTCAAAGTCCCTGTCTCCTCTCCCATCTCATGCTCCGATCCATCAGCTTGCTCCGCCTACGAGCTTTACCTCCGCCTCCCTGAGCTTAAAAAGCTATGGACGTCTCGTGATTTCCCTCAGTGGAACGACGAACCGATTCTCAAACCGTCTCTCCAAGCCTTAGAGATCAGTTTCAGATTGATCCTAACCGTCTGCTCCGATACAAGACCGTACAACAACCACCGCGAATGGAACCGACGGTTAGATTCTCTCGTCACGAACCAGATCCAGCTCATCGCAGCGATCTGCGAAGGAGAAGAAGAGGAAGACGATCGATTAGCTCCGGTCGGCGGTGCACGGAGCTCTCTCAGCCTGCTACCACATCTAGCCACGTGGCGGAAATCGGAAGCGTTAGGGAGGAAGATGTTATCCACGATCGATAACGAGATGCGTAGGTGTAAATACACGCTCGGACTCGGAGAACAGAACGTCTCCGGGAAACCGAATCTCCGATACGACGCCGTTTGTAAACCTAACGAGATTTACCGTCTCAAGGATAATCCGTACGCGGATCATGTGGATAACGAGGAGAATCAGACTCTCTACATTCTCCACCAGATCCTCGAATCGTGGATCCACGTCTCAGGAAACATACTGAGACGTGTCAACGCGAGGATCGAGGAAGAGAGGTTCGGTGAAGCCTCGAGCGATTTGTACTTGGTGGAGAGGATCTGGAAGCTTATGGCTGAGATAGAAGATCTCCATATTCTTATGGATCCCGAGGATTTTTTGAAACTGAAGAAGCAGTTACAGATCAAATCCAACGGTCAAAACGACGCGTTTTGTTTTAGGTCGAGAGGATTAGTGGAGATGATGAAGATGACGAAGGATCTCAGGGAGAAGGTACCGACGGTGCTTGGTGTCGAGGTGGATCCCACGGGTGGTCCGAGGCTACAGGAGGCGGTTATGAGATTGTACGCGACGAAGAGGGAGTGTGATAAGATTCATTTGTTTCAAGGGATGCAAGCGGTGGAGGCGGCTGCGAAGAGGTTTTTCTTTGCGTATAAGCAGTTGGTGGCGGTGGTGATGGGAAGTGCGGAGACGAGTCAAGAGTCGTGTGACTCGCTGAGTCAGATATTTATGGAGCCGACGTATTTTCCGAGTCTTGACGCGGCGAAGACGTTTCTGGGAGAGTTCTGGAGTCACTTGGGATGAAAGAAAGTTTTTATTTTATTTTAAATTAACTTGGTGTGGTTAGGTATTGTATGTTTCTGAAAATTTTGAAATATTTGATAATTGGGATTATATTTGAATACAATTTATTTTTATATGGTTGTGTGTGCTTTTATCAAATATCTACTAGCTAAAAAAACAATTATATATATATGTCTACTAACTAACTCCAGCAAGGAAGAGAAATCCACTTAAAATAAATGGATAAAAGAATGGTTCTTCAAAGATGGTCTTCAATAGTAAAATTTTATTATATTTTAAACTATGTTTTTAATATATTTTACTGTATTTTAAAATATTTTTAATTTATTTTAAAATTATTTTTCTTTAAATTTTATATTTTACTCCTCAATAGTATAATAATTAAATATACTCATTAAAATTTCAAAAATCAATAAAACATACTACTTGATAGATATTAAAATATAAATTAATTTTGTGTGATCTTACAATTTTGGAACATTTAAAATGTTACTGAAATTTTTGGAACATTTGATAATTTATATTTGAATACAATTCATTTTATATGGTGTACGTTTTTTTTTTATCAACGACAAGTCTATGCTGTGTAAACGTTAACAAATTACAATTTCACTATCATGGAATTACGTTATTAGATGATAATAAAACAAAAAAAACTAAACAAAACTAGTCAGCTAGGTGCGGTGTAAAACAAACACATGAACTGATGGTGGCTAAACAAAAGTCGAATAAAAAACGTGTAAGATTGTAGAATCCTTAACAAAGTCTAAGACGACATATTGTCTGAATTCTGAAATAAACAATCAGAAATGTGTCTTTTCCATAGTTCTTCCATCGATTGCGGCACTGAAAACAGTTTGTCAAGAAAATACTGTGAACAATAGTGAAAGGAATGTTTGTACAAAGCCATTTATCAATGCAGCGGAAATGGAACTATAAAATTGAATAAACATATTATTTTTATCCAAAATATTTAACATTGTCTGAATTGTGAAAAACATTGATCAGAAAACCAAAAACTGCTATTTACTTTCTAACCCAAACTAACCGAAAAACAAGAATCAAAACAGAAGTGAATGAGATCCGGAATTATTTCAGATATTAGTCAGATATAACATTTAGTAATAACAAAATCCTTGTCGACTCTTATATATAACTATCACATTCACTTCTCCAACACATATTATGTATCTTCTTCGGGCTCTTCTTATTTTTCTGGTTATTATTTAGTTATTTTTATCAAAATTTTACTAATTTTTTTCTATTTTTTTCCCAAATATTTGTTTATCTCTCTAAATATTAATAAAAAAACAATACAATCAATGAACCAAAATCCATCTTATATTTTTTTTTTCAGTTACAACTTACCTTATTCACTCTATTATTTGATTTAAATGCAAAACATTTTTAAACAAAGTTCCCACATATTCCGTTCAATATAATTCGTCAAATCTTCAAAACCTAATTATTTATAAAACACATATAGACATTATAAGTGATTAATAAGTATTATAGATACAAATACATTTTTATATGAATATAAATCATTATATTTATTTTGATAAACTTTTTTCTAATTCATTATTTTAGTATATAAAGAAATTATCAAACATTACTTTATATAATTTTGAAAATTAACTACCATAAATTTTTATTTGTAATAACATTTAGATTACATTTTATTTGAGATCTAATTAAAATAACTAAAAATTATATAGAGGCTTGTTTATTATATTATGTAGTTTATACATATAAAAATAGTTGATCAAATGTTATAATTCTTTATATAATTTCAACAATTAGTTACCATAAATCATTATTTTTAATATAAATGAGATGATTTAGCAAGTTATAATTGGTTACGATATATTTTTATTTTAAATCTACACTAAATTAAATAAAATTAAAAATTATTGACTAAACAAATTATAACAATTTTCTTAAGACTCGAGGAATGATTGACATGTAAGCAAAACACACTTGAGTGACTTCTCGTTTAATATATAGGATAATTCATGTATTTTTTAAATGTTATATACTTTTATAAATAAATTATGATAAAATAATTTTGTAAGCCATGATATATAATTTTAAAAATATATTAATATATTTTAATAACTATATATAAAGTTATATGGACATTATAAGACATTAATAATTATTATAATACTTTATATAAGAATATAATGTTTTCTTATAAAAATTTTGTATTATTAATTATTTTATGTAGTTTATAAATATAAAAATAATTAATCAAACACTATTACACTTTCTATAATTTTGATAATTAGCTACCATAGATTATTTGTAGTATTATTTAGATTATTTGATGAGTGATATTAATTTGTTTTATACTCACTTTTTATTTTAAATCTAATTAAAAGAACTGAAAATTGAAAAACTTTTAACCAATCAAATTATAACAATTTTTCTTAAACTCTCTCTATTATTGACATCAAAACAAAATTCATTTAAGTGACTTTTCATTTAATATATAGGAGGAATATATGATTTATAGTCATTTTAAGAGATGAATGGATCTTCAAGCAATAAATTTCCTATTCATCTTAAAAATAAATATTTGAATTTGATTTCAGTTATTCTTTTTTTTTTTGGTAGCTGATTTCAGTTATTCATCATGTTGAATCTTCAATAGCTTTTAATATATAAGGCTGGGCTTTATTTTTAACCTTTATAAAGTCTTAATTTAAATCTAGTAGCTATGGAGTCGTTTAACAGCCCAACAAAACAAAATAATGGGCCTACTTCTTGGCCCATCATCAGCTAATCTATCTCTGCTGCTTCTCCCATCTTTCCTTCTCTCTATCGCTCGTATCGAAAACCCTAAAATCTCCAATCTCCCTCCTTTGTCACCGTCCTCGATCCCAACAATCTCAACCATGGCGGCAACAAACGAGCACACCGTCTTGCAATTCGTGACTCCTTCATCGACAACCTCCACAACTACCTCAGTGCTGACAGCGAGAATCCACCCTCTCGTCATCTTCAACGTCTGCGACTGCTTCGTGAGACGTCCAGACTCAGCTGAACGAGTCATCGGCACTCTCCTCGGATCTATCCTCCCCGACGGAACCGTCGATATCCGCAACTCATACGCAGTTCCTCACAATGAATCTTCCGATCAGGTTCTGAATCTTTCTTTCAATAGCTCTGTCTTCAGTTACTTAATCTTATAGATCTGTTTGCTGTCTGAAGAGCAGAGTTTTGTTCTTGTGAGAGTTTGGTTTGTCTATAACGAGAAGTAAAAGTTGACATGAGTTTTGTCCTTGTGGAGAATGTATTGTCTGTAGGAAGAAGTGTAGACGAATGAGTAGACTTGAGATAAGTTTTTTGTTAGAGTGTGTTGTCCGTAAGAGAGGTGTAGACCAATGAGCAGACGTGAGTTATGTTCTTGTGAGAATGTGTTGTCTAGGTGTAAACGAATGAGCAGACATGAGTTATGTTCTTGTGAGAGTTTGTGTTGTCTATAGAAGATGTGTAAATGAATGAGCAGACATGAGTTTTTGTTCTTGTGAGAGTGTATTGTCTATAGAAGAAGTGTAGACTTAATAAAAAAATGCCACGTGCTTAGATGTTTGATTTAGCCTTGGTCATGCAATTTTGAGGTTTATGGCTTAACATGAATGTAGGTTGCTGTGGATATTGATTACCACCACAACATGTTAGCTTCGCACCTTAAGGTGAATCCTAAGGAAGTAATTGTTGGCTGGTACTTCTCAATTTCACTCATGTTATCTATCACATGATCACCATGATTATTAGTTGATGGAACCTTTTTTTATTAATGTGGTTTAGGTATTCTACTGGTGCTGGGGTCAATGGTGGTAGTGCACTGATTCATGACTTCTTTGCTAGGGAAGTCACCAACCCTATTCACCTTACTGTGGACACTGGGTTCACTAATGGTGAAGGTACCATCAAAGCTTACGTCTCCTCAAACCTTTCACTTGGTGATCGCCAACTCGCTGCTCAGTTTCAAGAGATTCCTGTCGATCTCCGTATGGTTGAGGCTGAGAGAGTCGGATGTGAGTATTCCAACTTTGTTTTCTCTTCCAGTTTCTGTAGTATCTAGAGATGATTTGTGAAAGATTAATAGTTTTTAGCTTTGTTTCTCTATAGTATATTATATTCTTCCCTGAACCAGTTGTGGCTTGATCGTTTCTTGTTTGGTGACTGATTAAGAAAGCATCCTTTGATATTCAGACGATGTCCTCAAGGCAACAACTGTTGACAAACTTCCAAATGACATGGAAGGAATGGAGCTGACAATGGAGAGGCTGTTGGCTTTAATCAACGATGTCTACAAATATGTTGACAGTGTTGTGGTGAGCTTATTATACCCTTACGCTTAAACAGACAAACTCTATCCACCATAGATGCCTATGATCGTTGATGATACATAAAATTTCTCAGGAAGGTCAGACATCTCCAGACAACAACATAGGACGATTTATTGCAGAGGCAGTAGCATCCCTTCCCAAATTACCCCCACAAGTCTTCGATAACCTCGTGAATGATAGTCTCCAGGTAAAAAATTAATCGTTAAACTTTCAGAGACTAAACTAAACATATTTTATTATAACTAATGGATTTGGGTATTGTGTTGTTGCAGGATCAATTGCTTCTGTTGTACCTATCAAGCATAACAAGGACACAGTTGAGTCTAGCGGAGAAGCTCAACACAGCTGCTCAGATGCTGTAATCAGCTTTTTGATACGCACGGTTTTGCTGAAAAAATGTGGAATGTTGCTTTTGGTTTCATTGTTTTTTCTTGACAAGGTTTTTGTAAGATTCTTGTTGTAGCTTTCCGAAATTGCAACTTAGAGACGGACAAAGTTTCATTTTTCATGAGTTAAAACGAAGTTCGAATATAGTTCTTTATTTTGTCCAAAAAGAGTACTTTATTTTGTCCAAAAAAGAGTTATTTACTAATACGAAAACAATGATAATATGAGAAGTTTCGATTGTGATCATGTATATGTTTTGGTGGTAAGTCTCTGAACTGTACCTTGCTGTCATCCTGAGAAATTGTTCATGATCAAGGAAGAGCTTGTCAAGGGGAACTAAGCTAGGATTTTAGAAAATAAGATTGAAATAAATTTTAATATTAAAATGAAACTTCTACTAATTTCTTGATTAGTTATCAGATTTTGGGGACTATTGTTCATTTACTGATGATTTGCAATTGATTATTGTATTTCCTAAAAGAAAATTTGGCAGATTTATT